ATGGCAGATATACTAAACTAACATCGTTAAATAATTGTCTTAAGAGATATTCAAAGAATTAAAGGACAGTGTGGACAAAGTGAAGAAAATGACGTATAAACAAAATGGAAATATCAAAAAGATAGAAAACCTAAAATTGAACCAAAAAAATTCTGGAGCTAAAAAGTACAATAACAAATGAAAAATTCACTAGAGGAATTCAAACACAGATTCAAACAGGAAGAAGAAAGAATTAATGAACTTGAAGATAGGACAAGGGAAATTATTCTGTTTGAAAAAAAGTGAATGGAGCCTAAGGGACCTGTGAGATACCATGAAACAGACCAAAAAATACATCATGGGAATCCCAGAAGAAGAGAGAGACAAAGGGCCAGAGAGAATAACTGAAGAATTAATGGCTCTAGACTTCTCACATTTGATGAAAGGCATGAATTTAGACATCCAAGAAGCTTAACAGACTGCAAATAAGCTAAAATTAAAGAGACCCACGCAAAGATGCATTATAATTACACTTTCAAAAACCAAAGATAGAATCTTCAGAGCAGAAAAAAAAAAAGTCATCACATATAGGGGACAATCAGTAAGATTCTTAGAATATTTCTCATCAGAAGCTTTGGAGGCCTGAAAACAAGAAATATATTCAAAATACTAAAAACAAAAGCAACTTAACAACCAAGAATCCTATTTCCAGCCAAGCTGTCCTTTAGAAGTGAGGAAGAAATTGTCACATTTCCAGATAAACAAAAGCTGAGGGAGTTTCTTACTACTACACCTGCCCTGCAATGCTCAGGAAAGTTCTGCAAAGTGAAATAAAAGGACAGTATACAGTAACTTGAAGCCATCTGGATAAATAGAGACCTCAATAAAGGTAAATACATAGACAATTATAAAAGCTGATGTTATTGTAAAATATTGTAAAAATGGTTTGTAATTGCACTGTTTGTTTTATACATGATTTAAGAGACTAATATGCTTAAAGGGAAAAAACAATTATTCTAATAAACAGTATTATCATAAACTTGGCCTGGAACTCCAGATCTTGTTTTATACATAATTTAAGAGACTAATGCATTTAAAAGAATTATTAATTTGTGTATTGGGGCACATAATTTATAGAGATAAAATTTTGTAACATCAAAAACCAAAAGGGGTGGGGATGAAGCTGTAAAGGAGCAAAGTTTTTGTATGTTATTGAAGTTAAACTGGTGTAAACACAAAATTAGGGTGTTACAACTTTAGTATTATAAATCCCCATGGTAACCACAAAGAAAAGAGCTAGAGAATATACATAATGGAAATGAGAAAGAAATTTAAACATTTCAGTACAAAAAATTGAACACAAAAGACAATAATGCAGGAAATAAGGGATAAAAAAGTTGAAAGAATTATAGAAAATAACTATCAAAATGACAGAGGTGCTTCCTTATCAGTAGTTACTCTATGAAACCAGAAGTTGGTTCTTTAAAAAGATCAACAAAATTGGAAACCTTTAGCTAGACTAAGAAAAAAAAGAAGACTCAAGTTACTAAAATCAGAAATGAAAGTAGGGATATTGCTACTGGTGGTACAGAAATAAAAATTACAAGAGAGTGCTGTGAACGATTATAGGACAAAAATATTGGATAATCTAGAAGAAGTGGGCAAATTCCTAGAAACACAAAAATCTACCAAGACTAAATTACAGAGAAATAGAAAATCTGAATAGACATATAATTAGTGGGATGATTAAATCAGTAATTTAAAACATCCCAACAAAAAGCCTTGGACCTGATGACTTCACTGGTGAATTCTACCAAACATTTAAAGAACTAATACCAATCTTCCTTGAACTTGTCGACAAACTTGAAGAGGAGAGAACATTTCCTAACTCGTTCTATGCGGCCAGGATTACCCTGATTCCAAAGCCAGACAAAGACCCAACCAGAAAATGACAGACCAACGTCCCTTACAAACATTGATGCAGACGTCCTTAACAAATAGCAGAATGAATTCAGCAGCATACTGATAGGATTAAATGCTATAGCAAGTGTCATTTATTTCTATTCAAAATAGAACTGGGAATTGTAGCCTGAGCAATTAGGCAAGAAAAAGACATAAAAGGCATCCAAACTGGATGTCAAACCACGCAACATCTATTCACCATCTATTCACTCTAGAGAAGCAGCAACAGACTCGAGGAGCTTTACTGCTCTGCCAACCACTCTATCAGATAAGCGGGGAGGATGGGCCTGGAGTCCAGGACTCTTGTCCTTCTCCTTGTTTCCATCTTTCTGTTCCCTGTGCCCATGTGGAATTTGGTAGAGAACCTGCTTCTTTAGAACTGATCGCCTTTGACATTTGAAATCCAAGGCTGCTGAAAGGTGAAGCAACTCCTCTTCCATGGCCACCTCTCCCTAGTGAAGGCAGATCTTCCTAGCTGCCCCTTCCTTTCCTTACATCACTAGGTCCTCACTCTTAAGGACAGTCTCATGCCCTGTATAGGACAGCAGCCCAAAATTTTAGTTTTCTACCATTTTGACATTTTTCTCTCCAAGTGCTGTCCGAGAATACATTACCGACTATTTCAAAAAAAAAAAAAGCACAAGGAAATAGCACAAGGAAAAAGCACAAGGACAGAAAAACCTGAATTCTCCTTCCATCCCAGTTATTCCTACTGTATAACTGGATGAGTGGCTCTTATCTTTCTTGCCTCAGTTTTCTCATCTCTACAATTGGAAATATCACAGTCTATTTCATTTTCTTACATGAAGTTTATAGTAGTTGCCTCACACAGGCCTGGTATATGGAGATGTCCAGTAAATGTTAAATTTTTCTCTCTTTCTCCTCTATCTTCTTAAATAGCAAGAGTGACATATGTGTTTCTTAACATCATTACTATTCTAGTACAGCTGAAAGTCCCTCTTCTGTATCCTATTGTAGGTGCTATAGGGAAGTCACATGCAAAGTCAATTATATCGAGCAGTGGTTCTTTTTTTTATTGTTATTATTAAGGTATAGTCAATTTACAGTGTTGTGTTAATTTCTGGTGTGCAGCATAGTGATTCAAATATATATGTGATATACATATATATACATATATACAGATATACAGATATACTTATGTATATATGTGTGAATATATATGTATATTCTTTGTCATATTCTTTTGCATTATAGGCTATTAAAGGTATTGAATATAGTTCCCTGTGCTATACAGCAGGACCTTGTTGTTTATCTATTTTATATATAGTAGTTAGTATCTGCAAATCCCAAGCTCCCAATTTATCCCTCCCCATCCCCTTTCTCCTTGGTAACCATAAGTTTGGTTTCTATGTCTGTGAGTCTGTCTCTGTTTTGTAAATAAGTTCACTTGTGTCCTTTTTTAAAGATTCCACGTATCAGTGATATCATATGGCATTTTTATTTCTCTTTCTGGCTTACTTCACTTAGTATGATGATCTTCAGGTCCATCCATATTGCTGAAAATGGTATTGCTTTATTCTTTTTTAATGGCTGAGTAGTATTCCAGTGGGTGTGTGTGTGTTTGTGTGTATGTGTGTGTGTGTTTCTGTTAATGTACTTTTTAGTTGTATAATTTCTATTTGGTTCTTTTGTTATAACTTCCATTTCTTTACTGACATTTCTATATTTTCATTATTTCGAGAAGATTTCTTATTGATTGCTGAAGCCTTTTTAGGATGGTTGCTTTAAATGCTTTTTGGATAATTCCAACATTTCATTCATCTTGCTGTTAGCATCAATTCATCGTCTTTTCTCATTCAGGTATTACTTCTCTAGTTCTTGGTCTGACAGGTGATTTTCCATTGAATCCTGGATATTTTTGCTATTATGTTAGAGACTAGGTCTTTGAAAAATCTTTAATTTTATCAGATAGTCACCCTGCTTAGGTTTGAATGCAAGTCCTGGCCTACTTTTGTGGGATAAGGTTCCAATGACAATTTAATATTCAGAGGCTTTACTGTG